AGCTTGTGAAGATGATAATAGAATACTGGTTATATATTGGTTATACCCTACATTGTAACCTAGGACAGCATCTCAGGGTCTCAAGTGGTCAGTGTAGGCTGTGGGAATTGTGGGTGCTGCTGGCAGTGAGTGAAAGAGCACAAACCCTTCCTGTAAGCCATGTGCAGGATTTCTGTTGTGTGTCATCAGCTGAACCTTTCTCCTCTTGTGGTCTTGAGCAAGTGCCAGCCTTTATTCTAAACTGCAGCTCTGTCACTTGGAGTGGACAAAGCACTGCTGAACAGACTGAGCCTGGCTGTCTGCGGTTTGACAGGACAGTGGGGCCTCTAAAATGTGGTTTGTCCACCAGCTGGCTGCCCTGCCACTCGTGAAGCCACTCCATTTGGGTTATTCTTCCAAAGGGGGCAAGATACTGCTGCTGCTAGGCAAGCAGTGTGTGCTTTTGAAGTACCCATTACTTTGTAGATATAGATTATATATGGGTTAATAGTTTTAACTCCTTTATAGTTTGTATAATATTGTTAATGTATTATAAATTACTGGTTTTTTTCTTACAGTCATCTTTTTGGAAAGATGGTTCTTCATTTGAACTCCTTTCTTGGCTTCCCTGTCATACTCCTGTACCATTGGATGGGTCCAACTTTACCTCTGAATCTGGAAGATCCCAATGTGTGTAGCCACTGGGAAAGGTAATATTTTCCTCTGGAAAAAAATGACACAAATTCTGATGTGATAACTTTATTTTGTTTTACTTGGAACACTTCAAATTATTTAAAGCTTTTAGCTGAATTACAAACTGGGAGAAAATTTTACTTCACTGCATGGGGAGGTGAGGTCATGGGTAAGTAAAAGTCTCTTTCACACTGAGCTGAAATGCAGTCGAGGTTAGGATACAAAAACCACAACAGTAGTGCAGCAATTTCACACAACCATCTGGGTACAAGAAGTGAATAAAAATAGCTTTTTCCAGTTTAAGTGAAAAAAAGATTTTACATATGCAAAACATAATTAACCATGTTGGAATTTGGCCAAATTTGATTATGCTGATTCTTTCCTATTCAGCCTTCACAGAATCTGAATTAGGATTTGTTGTTTAATTATTTTGATGAGGTTTGGAAATTTAAAACGTACAAAATGAAGTTCATCAATGTAGTTGGTCCGTTTCATGTTAATTGCAGGGAGATGCCACAGTGGGTAGGAGAGGTTGAGCCTGAAGTATCTGCTGAACTTCTTTTCTTGTGTAAAGGTTACAATAGTGAAACCAAGCATTATGGTCTCATTATTACTGTTATGCCCATGATTGATCAGCTAGTCCATGAGACAGTCTGACTGTCACAGTTCACTTGAGGACATCAGTATTTCCTGCACATGAAGTAAACTGTTTTGTGTTTAATCATGGAGAGTGCTGCTAAGCCTCTGAACATTTGTTGTGATTGTTATGGCTCAGTCTTTACAAAGAAAATGGAAACTTGTATTTGCTCTTTAAGAAAGTCCCACTATGCAAAAAAAGGACTTTCCTCAGGAACTTATCTGAGCTTCCTGAGAAGCATATGGTGTCTCTGCCTCAACTGTTGCGTACAATTTGTACAACAATGTGCATATGAAGTAGCTACCATACTAAATACCTGTTTATAGTAGTCAGGCATGTGGCTGTGATGTTACTGGGCACTGTTCTATATCACATGTGCTTTATTTACCGTTTTTCTTAGATAAAAGTGGTTTTGAGGGTAGCTACAACATAGTGAAAGCAAAATGGGGAAAAAAATCCCAGTGTAACTATTTACACTGCATAATCTAATTTAAAACAAACTGATCAAAGCCTGCAGAAAGAAAAATACATCTAAAAATGCATCTATCAAACACGCCCACATTGTTGCATGAACCTTTCTCCTTCTTCTGCTGTGTCTCAGAAACGTGGAGAAACTCCAAGTAAACTTACAGAAACATTCATGCTGTTGCCCAGAACAGGCAACAAAGGTACATAAGTATGAAAGGCTGAAGTCCCCAGATACAAGCTCTTTACTGTCACTGTTACATGCTTTAAATAAACCCATCCCAGCTGGTACTAAATTGGGCTTTACAAATGAGTTGTGATCACAGCAAGAAGGGGTAGAGCATGCCCTGCCTCAAACCAAGGGCGCAGAGCCCGAGGCAGGCATCAGCATCCCACTGATACTTTGTTGGACTAGGACAGCTGGATGGATTAGGGTTGCTTGCTTTCATGTAGATGTAGGAAAAACAGGGAGTAAGCTCTGGGCAGTTAGAGTGAGTAGGTCTGGATGTGCTTTCCCTCAGTGTAGGTGATTACAGTAGGAAGAGCAGACTGTGGCTGTTAACCTGCAGTAGGTGCTAAGAGGTCAAAGAGGGTGTGAGTGGAAAGGAGCTGGGTGGGATACAGAGTGTTTTGGCTGGTCCTGGGAA